TGTTAGTTTAGTTACAGGGCTGAAAGTTTCTGTGTAATCCATTCCAAATTATTGTGTGTAACCTTTAGCTACTAGTCTTGTTTTTTATTTGTCTAAGGATCCATCCGCTTTGAGTTTTGTTTTAAAAACAAACTTGCTTCCTATTGGTCTAACTCCAGAGGGTAATGGGACTATATCCAATGTATGATTTGTTTGTAGGGATTTTAATTCTTCAGAAATAGCTTGTTGTCAATGTTATTCCTTAATTGATTCTTGATATGAAGTAGGGTCTTGTATGTAGAGAGTGTCACTGTGTATGCTTTATGTGTCTGATAATTTGTCATATGCCAAATAATGAGATAGAGGATGATGAGTTCTTTCCTTTATTAGCTGTGAGGCATTGGATCTAGGAACAATGCAATGATGAAATGCTTGTAAATGAGAAGGTGTTTGTATATTTCCAGTAGATCTTCTCAAATTAGAGATCTGTTCAGCTGGTCTTATTTGAGAAGTGGTGTCATTGTTATCAGAGGAATCAATATCCATTTGAATTGGAGAGATTGATTGTGTAACTCCTCTGCTACTAGAGAATTTTTCAGTAGAAGTTGTCTTTCTAGTAACTGGTGTTTGTTGCATTGAGGCATTGTTTTCTAGAGTCATTATTGGTTCCTTATCATTATAGGTATCATTTGCATCAGGTGAATCATTTATGTACTTACTGTACAAATGATCTTTAATGTCTAGTAATAAACGTGCAGAGTAATGAGCAGATTTTCTTGTTCTAGGTCTTTTTCTTTGAATGGAAAAATATGTTCTATGAGTTTCACATCTCTAGAGATAAATATTTTCTTTGTTTATAAATCAAAACACTTGTATCGCTTAATATTTGGTGGGTATCCTATGAACACTGCCTTCTTGATCTAGGGTAACACTTTGTCCTATGTATAGGTAAAAGTAGTGGCAAAGCATAAGCAACCGAATACCTTAATGTGATTGTAGATTGGTTTCTTTCCATAAACTATCTCAAATGGGCTTTTTCCTTTCAAAATTGGAGTTGGCATTCTATTTATGAGATAGACTGCAGTGAGTATAGCTTCTCCCCAGAAATGTTTAGGCAAATGGGATTGAAACATTAAAGACCTAGCAACATTCAAAATGTGTTGATGCTTTCTTTCTACAATTGCATTCTGTTGAGGCATGTAGACACAAGTTTTTTGTTGTATTATTCCTCTTTCATGAATGAAATCAGACATGTGGAACTATATTCCATTATCAGTTCTTAGTATTTTGACTTGTGTTTTGAACTGTTTTTCCATTATATTAATGAAGCTGATCATGGTTGTTTTTGTGTAAGATTTTTGTTTGAGAAGACATGTCCATGTGAATTTGCTTTTGTCATCTACTATGGTCAGGAAATAATTATGTCCATACATTGTACTTATGACATATGGACCCCATAGATCAAAATGTAGTAATTCAAAAATAGTACTTGAAATACTTTCACTAATTCCAAAAGAAGATCTCTTTTGCTTCGCCATTTCACAAATAGTGCAATAAGAAAAGTTATTACAAGATATTGAATGATTACAATCTTTTATTATAGCTAGTTTATCTAAAGAAGGATGTCCTAACCTAAAATGCCATATATGGCTAGAGACATTTGCTTCCTCTTTATTTGTGGCATATGCCTTCTTCTGACAAAATAATTCTTCATCAAGTTCCAAGTGATACAGTCCTCCTCATACTCTATTCTGCAGGCCAATCTTTCTCCAGGAATTCTTCAAGGGAGTAGAGTTTCTTTCCAAAAGTGGATGCAGTTCCATTTGCACTAGTTGCACCAGCATGAACATTAATGTTTGCTTTATGGTTTTTGTTCTTTTATTGCTCAGCAAGTGCTAACAGCTGGCTGATCTGTTCATGAGTTGTAGCTGACTAGCACCACCTTCACTTGCATTGAACCCAGTGTTCACCTGATTGTTGAAGGCACCATGAGTGTTGCTTCTACCTCCAAAACCTCCTCTGTTTCCAGCTGAGAACCTCCCACCTCTATTATGGTAACCTCCTCTCAAGTTGTTATCAAAGTGGGGTTTTTTAGTGTAGGAAGGACCAACTTGAGTAGGATAGTTTTGGTTGGGCAGAGTAGCGTTTGGATAACCATGAATTTTGAAACAAGTTTCAATAGAGTGGTCGTTCATCCTACACTTAGGACAATACATATCTCTCTTATCTTTCCTTTTGTGCCAATTGTTGCAAGAGCATATGCATCCATGGTAGTCTCAGTGTCCGTGTTTCTTGTTTGTTTCTGTCTTTCCTCTTGAAGGACAAGACCATAAGCTTTGTCAACAGATGGAAGAGGCTCCATACTAATGATACTTTCTCTCACAACTTCATAAACATTAGACCGGCCCATTAGGAGTTTGAACATCTTCCTAGTTTCAATCATTTTCTCAAACTTTTCACTGAGTTTGCACTTGCATAAGCCACAAGAGCATGTGGGTATTGACTGGTAATTACTTAGTTCTTCCCATATGGCTGAAACTCCTGAAAGTTTACCAAAGAAAAGAGAAACAACATTGGACCCTTCCTTAAGAGCATTTAAGTTTTGCTCAATCTGAAACACTCACTTCACTTAGTTCTACAAATCTCACTTTGAGTTTATCCCAAGCTTCTTTAGCACTGTCACCGTATAGAACAGTGGATTTAAGCTCCTCTGAAACAGGGTGAATGAGCCATAACATGATGAGAGTATTGCACCTGATCCAAGACTTAGAGTTCATGTCTTTGGCATCTGGTTTTTTCAGAGTGCCATCAATGAACCCTTCTTAATTATATTGTTCAGAGTCAGAGACAAGATAAAGGCACAGCTCCAAGTATGATAGTTTGAAAAGGTGAGAACTGGAGAAACAACACCAGAAGTTGTGTTGTCTGAGTGATGCAAGTATTATGGGCTAAAGGGATCATCATGGATATGGGGTGAACCACCACTGTCCAGTCGTTTGCATATTTCACCAATTTCTCCAGTCATGTTCAAATCTTAAAGTGATAAAGCCTTTTAAGCAAACAAGTAAAGAAGGTGACCTTCTATAGAACAGAAAAATAAATAATAAAATAAAAACAGAAAAGAGATTCTAGCAAAGGTAACTTCGCTCTGATACCATATTAGAAAATGAATAATGAAAGTAGGAGAAATTCTAAAACTCCATTAAAATAGCTCAAAGGCTGAGAAGATTGTTGTGTGTCTTACAATGTCCTAATTGGCTTATATTTATAGCCTCAATTCTACTGCTAGGGTTGGTAACTACAAAAAAAGAAAATTTCAAAGAGGGGAAATACACACAAGGACGCGTAAGGTGTTTCTTGGATGGAAGAAGATGACGAATCCTATTTCATGTTTCTTGGACTGAAGTGGGGCTGCGTACTAGTTCTCGATCTGCAATGGTTCATGTGCACCATTCATCTGGTCTGTTGATCATGAATCCTTCTTGACTTGCTATCCTGATAAGTTTGTGTCCCACGCTCTGTATTTCACTGTCTTTTATTTTGCTTCATGAATGGGATGGATTCTAACTCTCTTGAAGCTTTCTTCTTCTCTTGTTCTTTTTTGTTGCATTGTTTCTTCTTCTCTTCTTGCTTGTTAGTTGATAAGTTCTAACATCTACCGATCATGCTCATTATAGTATAATAAATTTATCCCTTAATAGTTACAAGTTAAGTATATTAGTGGTAGAGTTTCTCGCACACAAATATGACTAGTTATGTATATTACTGATTTTGTCTTCACGAACAAAAATATAACTAGTTATGTTTTTGGACAAAAATATGACTAGTTGTTATAGTTATTTTAGAATGACAAGTCATTGTAAATGAGCTAGTCATTAAGTATGTCACTTTTTGGATTTTTTTTAAATTAGTCATATTTTGTTTCTTAAATTTAATTTAGTAATTTCATGGAAAAAGACCTAATAAATTTATCCGTTAAGGATGTTTTCTTTTGGACAGTTTTCAATCTTAGACGGACCAGACCAGACTTCTATGGTTATAAAATACACAGAGACCAGACATGTACACATTTGACCAGATCAGATCAGACAAGACCAAACAAGACCAACAAATTTCAGTCCAAAAAAAACATCCTAATAATACATGAATCAACTTTTCCTAAATGTTAATTTATAATTGCAAGTAAAAGTTAATCTCATTCTACATTGGAATACCAAATTTAATAAAGGGTAGAACCTATGGCTTTGATACTTAAATGAGAAACTATCAAAATTGATACGGGGTCACGATTTAACATCATATTTTATCATCCAAATAGACAAGGGCGGTGTCTTGATAAGATTAGATCGTCATTAGATCGTCATGAGAAGGTTTGAGCGATCTGATTTGCTTTTAATCAGTTTGATCTAGTATCATAAATGTCTTAAGTGTATTCTGGTATGATATGTTCTCGGAAAATTGCCCTAAATAGGAGAAATGAGGTTTGAAATTTTAAAATAGAAGTATTATGTTTTTATTCCCGAAATAGGAGTTGTTACTACCAGTGGCGTACCCAGAAAAATTCGTCAATGGGGGCGAATTTGCCTTAAATATTATCCCACGAGTGTCATTGACTAATCACATTAACAAAAAAGATTGTAAAGACAAACGTTAACAGCAGAATATTCACTAAACAAAATCATTATGATATCACACTTACAAAATCACAATAAATAAGTTTAACTTTGTCATAAATAAATTTTAATTACATGGTGTTTGTAATTTGTTCAAAGTTATGCTACGGAGTAATAAATAAACAAATGGAATAAAGTAATTGAAAAATTAACTTATGTACTAAAAATTAATTTAAATTTCGAATTCACAAGTACACTAACAAAACCAATTTATATTATGTACAAAAAAAATAATACGTAATTGTAAGAGTTGCAAGACAAAAATTAAATGGAAATATATAGTGACTTTAAATGGTTTATGCTTCAAAAGAGCAAAAAGAACAAAATTTAAAAAAAAAACTAAGGGCAGCTTGGAACCGACGACCTTACGGAGGTTAAAAGAACATCCGACACTTTTTGGCTGTTGTGCTGTGTGTAGAAGTTTGATCACTCTACTCATGTTTGGTATATAATCCATACTTATTTAACACACAAATACATATATAAATATTTATTAAATATATATAGGGGTTTGGTGGGGTTGAGTGGGGGTAGCTTCCTCCTGCCCCACCCTGGATACGCCCCTGGATACTGCCTTGTATGAAAAATATTGTTGTTGAGGTTTATTCCTTCAATCCGTAGGCCCAACAACCTAAGGATTTTGAGTGGATGTTTTGGTGGTGTAGATAGTTTAACAAGCTAAGATGGGCCAAGTCACAACAGTAAGCAGGATGTATTCAATTAAGTCCATACAAATGATCAATTACAACAGAAAGCCCTGAGGCCGTTCGTACAGAACTATGCTACGAGTTGATACAATTGCTATAATGCTAGAGTGCTAAGTTCACAACCCTTTGCAATGAAATAAATGCTACTGTTTATACCACTAATAGGTAGTTAGATATGTTGATGTGGCGGGTTGTGGATTGCTTGGACCCTACCACCAAATCTCTTCATTTAATGTGATTCCCGCCAAGATATTGATTTCCCACCAAGAGGTGGAGACGAGCGTCCCCCTCTTGTCTTCTCTTCTTCGTGTGGCCCCAAGTCCCAGACTCCAAATGTCTTGCATGATCTCCTGGGCCGTCGTACCAGACCATCCATATCAGTGGGTCTTGGTGGCCCATTAGGGGCGTACGTCTCCCTGGTTTAAGGTGAAGGCTGCCCCAAGTCGACTTATGTCTCTGGGGACGTTCGTAGGGCGGTTCTTAAGGATTTATGGGTCAATCCATGTTGGGTCATTAACCCAACAACTGTCATGATTGAAAAATATTATCATTTTTTATAATAAATATTGTCATGTTAAATGCACTATATTGCAACTATTTGGCAGTCACACCTACAAGATGACTCTAAATACTGTTATGTAGTCCTATTTCGGGAATAAAAACATAGTGATTCTATTTTGGAATTTCAAACTCCATCTACCCCATTTTGGGAAATCTCCTTATGTTCTCAAATTGAAATCAATCCAAGTGGTGAAGATGTTCAAAAATACAGCATCCGAAATAATGTAGTGCCTATAACATACATATAATGATTACTTAATCTAGATAAATATCTTAGTTCATATCGGACAAAAAATAAATACTCTATAAGTTAAAAATATATAATAAACTTAAACATATACTCCCACCATCCCAAAAATGCTCCCCAGTTTGATTTGGCACACTTATTAAGAAAATATGAATATGATAGAAATGTATGATTGTGATTGAGTAATAAAGTTAATCATAAACTTCTACGCAAAACTTTTTGAAAAAAAGATGAGAAAAACTTTTTGGAATATCCTAAAATGTTAAGTGGAAAGAATTTGATATCACTAATGGTTATTACTGATTACTGGTATTCTTGAATATGGAGTACTTTATATATGTCGCATAGACCAACCGCACAACCTCAGAACTCGAGCCTTGAGCTGCAAAGCCAACTCACTATCTATCAAGATAGTACTCCGTATGACTCTAAAATTTGAATCGGGATTATTAGTTCTCAATGAGATTTTAGATTTGTACTATTAAAGGGTAAATATCACATTCCGAATTCCAATTTCCAAATGTTTGAGAAAAGTACATACATTGAGTATAAAGGTTTCCCACTCAAGTAGGTATATTGATTACTTTGTGTGTTCGATATTAGGTACTCAATTAATCATATTATTGATATTTTGTCTCATGGATTTTCAAAGTTAGGTTGCCATAATTAGAGCAATATCATAGAAATATTATTTGGTCCAATGACTTGGTATAAATCAAGATTCGGGACAATGCAAAGCTGCTATTCTGTCCTTATTATATTATGGGTACTACTTTGGACTGTTTGGAGTATATATAATTATATCTACAATACAATCATTAATTTTTTTAAATAAAGAAAAGCAATAGAAGATAAAAGGTGGGAGTAGCACATATAGAAGATAAGATGAAGGAATCTCGTTTGCGATGATTTGGGCATGTGCATAGAAGATCGAGTGATACACCTGTTAGACGACTTGAGGGGTGAGGAGAAGAGTCAGAGAAGAGGGAAAGGGGAAGACCCAAACAGACTTGGATTAGAATAATCAGAACTGATATGCGTCTTCTTGGATTGGATGAGAGTATGACTTTGGAGAGAGCAAAGTGGAGGACGCACATCCATGTGGACGATTGATATCTTGTCTACCTTTCCCCTCTTGTTTCTTTTATCGTTTATCTTCCTTATCTTTTTATATTCTTATGTTATTTTTATCTTCTAGCTTTTTTATGCTCTTTTATTTATTTTTCTTTTATCTTGGTTATATTCTTGTGTTATTGTTATCTTATATTTATACATCTTTATTTTATTCATTTTATCTTACTTTTTTTCCTTTTCTTGTCCGTCTTCTCTTTTTGGCATCGATATCATAGATCGATTCATGTTAACCAACCCCAAATTCTTTTGGAATTAAGGCTTGGATGTTGTTGTTGTTGTAAAGAAAAGCAATAATTCAACAATATACTCTTGTAGTATAACAATAGTGAAGAGGAAAAATAATTAGTCCACGGAAAGTATGAATGGTCAACAGGGTGCCCCGTATTATGGGGCATAGCCAATTCAACGCCTTTGACTTTGGTAAACTGCTCCACAAATAGTCTTCTCCGTTCAACCACCACATTGCCATCTTCATCCCATTTCTTCCAATTCTCAAATACGATAGTATTAAGTAATTACATAATCACCTTCTCCTTCAATTCCTTTCTGAAGTAGACCCTTTATGGAGAGTAGCTCCGCTGTTCATTGCATTCATGAAGAAGAAGACGAGGATGCATACATTGAGATAAACCTGGATCAAAGTCCAGTAGAAGAACAGAGGGGGAGGAGAAGGAGAAAGAAATTGAAAGATGATGATGAAGTTGAATTTCGGGTGTCGTTTCGAGAGGGAGCAGCTCTGCCGACATTCGTCTCGGTTTCATCTCCTCCTCCTCCCTCTTCGGTGGCCTGCCTGCCCCCTGGCAGGCGGAAACCGTCCTCTTTCGGGCCGGTGGATCCCCGGAGGAATATGGGTGATGATGGTGATCAGTGCCACCATTCTGCAACAAGTGAGACTGACTCCAAACAGCTGCTTCTCAGCACCAGCAGGTATATAGCTGAGCATCCTCATTAATTTGTCTCTTAAAATAAGGTGGATTAAAATGAGAAGATAGTGTAAAGATATTTATATAATCCTCCATTTATATATCTTAGGCTCATCACTATGAAAAGTTGCAATAATATTGAAAAGAATAAACCGTAGTTCTTCTCGTCCCAAATACGAGTAATAGCTGAGTATTCACTTTTTCTCATGTTGATCAGTGATTTCATTTTAATCTCAAACTTTGAGTTGCAAAAAAGGCTCATATTTTTAGATTAAATAGAGATTTTAATTCATAAAAAGGAGTAAGTTTTAATTACTAGCATTAATTTGAAAATGGTCATGAATGAATAAATCTTGTCTTTAGTCAAGTTCGTAAACTGTTTTTTAATAAGAATGAGTAAGCATAAACTTAAGTATTAGCCAATACTGAGGCTTATTGAAGAAATATCCCAATGTTGGGGTACAGGCTTACAGGGGTGATTAAAAAACTCTCATTATCATCAAACTATTCAATGTTTACTTTGTAATATGTCCTTGGAATATTCTGAAAAAAGGTTTGAATAACACTATCAATAAGTCTAGGCTTGCATGTGCTAAATATGACTAAAAATATTTGAAAATTCCAAAATAGTACTGTCATATTTTCATTCTCTGAATAAGAGTAATTACTATCAAGCTTGAAAAGTACTGTCATGTTTAAAGTTTGGTATTGCCAACACATGACAATAATTACTCATATTTAGAAAATAAAAACATGATAGTCCTATTTTGAAATAAAGAAGAGTATTTACTCCTACTTGTCAATTTACCTACTTTCTTTCAAAATTTGTTATAGAATACGAAGTATTAAAGTAAAAATGTTGTAGTTGAACTTATCTATAGAAGAAAAAATAATTCAACTTAAGTCTCTAATAACCTAAAAATATTTCTTTGTTCAACTACTTATTCATTTTTTCGTTTAAGTAAACAATTTATGATTTTCAATAAATATTTTTCCTCTACATAAATCCCTACATCAAACAGTTTATATTTCATGATTTCAAATGTTGGTCAAACTTACTTAAATATCACAAGACGAGTATTTATTTTAACACATTATAAATGACGAGAAAAGAGTCAAATAAGCCCTTCTACTATTATGAAATCTCAATAAAGTGTCATATAAGTACCTCTACTTGTAAAAAGCAATCAAATGAGTCCTAATGACCTATTTAACACCTCTTAATCCCAGTTTCAACGTACTTTTGACCATCTTTTTAGAATACATTATACGGCATATGTCGAATATATAACTAAGATTGGTTGAAATACAAGTCAAAAAAATCGACATGTAAGTTAAAATCGGGATTAGGAGGTGTTAAATAAGCCATTAGGACTCATTTGACTGTTTTATATAAATAGAGGTACTTATATGACACTTTATTGAGTAAGTGGCCTTATATAACTATTTCATAATAGTAGAAGGCCTTATTTGACCTTTTCCTCTATAATGACATAAGGAGTATAACTGATATAAGCGACCAAATTTAAAGACAAAGAAGGAATTTTGAAAAGCCTATCAACCACATAAAAGAGCATAAAAACAAGTGTAGAATATATAATATTTCAACACTGTTAAAATAAACATACAACAGATTAAACATAAAGGAATCACACCTTAGTTTGATTCAAACTCATCCTTGCTTTATCAATATTAGCTTGAGTAGTACGTAAAAATTACTCCCTCCGTCCCGCAAAGAAGTTCCCGATTTGACCTACACATATTAAGGAAATAAACTTATTAGAGGGTAAATTTTACTGTTTTGACACTGTTTCAACACTGTTTGGCATTGTTTGACACCGTTTTGCACCGTTTTGATGTAGATAACTTTCCATTTAAGGAAAAGGGAACTTCTTTTTGGGACTGCTAAAAAGGAAAGCGGGAAGTTCTTTGCGGGATGGAGGGAATATTATATACTACCTTGCCTCACAAATAGTTTTCATTTTTCTTTTTGGATAGTTTCAAAATTAACTTTTTCTTTTTGTTCTATAACGTTTGAGTACTAAACTACTTTTACTCTATAAAAAGTACAGCATTAATTATTAATGTTCTCATTACGGAGTACGGAGTATATTTTTCAGTGGCCATACTTTAAAAATCAATTAGAGATATCTTATCTAAAAAAGAGTGAAACTAAACTAGAAAGTAGAAACTTAGAGGATATAAATAATGATGATCTTTGATATTATATATTATCATCAAATGTTTTAAAATGTTTGGTGCACGCGCTTTTAGAAATTATTCTAAATAAGACTAAAATTATGGCAAAAATCCAAAATAAGACTTGTTATATTTTTATTCCAAAATAGGATCAAATCATTCCTATTGGAAACATACATATTTTTTCAATCCATTCTTACCCCTCCTTTAAATATGATTAAAATGCAGTGAAAAGTCATGATTTAATGTTTAATTCATAATAAATCCGAATTTTTTTTAATAATCATAGAAAAATAATAAAAAATTAATAAGATATTTATAAAATATTTATAAAATAAAAAATAATTTTATATTTTTTTAAAAAAATTAAAAATAGTAAAACTCCATAAAAAATAAAAAAATATGGATGCTTTTCCCACCGTCTGTACAGCCTCCCTGCACCACCACCTCCGAACGGTGTAAAAAAATGCCTACTTTTCTGAATATTCCAAAAATATGGCATATTACTCTTTGAGAATGTCAAAATTTTCATTGAATCTGCTATAAATATGACATTATTCCTAATGCATGTGGAATTTTTTTCCCCTAGTTACCGGAGATGGTGGTGCTGGGGTGGCAGTTTTTTTAGCGTTTTTTAGTTTTTTTAAAAAAAAAATCTTTAATTTTTTTAATTTTTTAAATTAGATACATTTCCCACCGCTTGTACTGCCTCCCTGCACCACCACCTCCGACCGATGTAAAAAATGTCATTTTTCTTGAAATGCCAAAAAAATTGCATATTACTATTTCAGAATGTCAAAATTTTCCATGATTCTACCATATAAATGGCATTCGTAATAGATGTGGTATTTTTTCTCCTAGAGACTGGAGGTGGTGGTGCTGGGGCAGTAGAGGCGGCGGTGATTTTATTTTATTTTTTGCAATTTTATTTTTAAAAAAATAATTTTTTTTAAAAAATAATTTTTATTATTGAAATATTTTTTATTAATATTTTAGTTTTTTTTACGAATTTTTATTATCTTTTGTAATTTTTTTATGAGTTAAAGCATTTCAATAGCAACATCGATATATTTGTCCAACACACATAATTGGTCATATCAAAACATAGTTTACTTTTTTGTCCTATTTATGAAAAGTGAGAAGCTTTTAGTCCTATTTTGATAATTAGGGTATGTTTGGCACAACTAGCTGAAAACATATTTTTATGAGCTTTTTAGTAACGGTTAGCTTTTAGTGACTGAAAAGATCTTAAAAAGAAAAGATCGTAGCTGTTTGGTAAAAAGTCGATTGTTTGATTTAGCTCTGTTTGGTATACAAGATGTTAGGAGTAATTAATGATAGAAACTACGGACTTATCTGAGATGCTACACACTGTATCATCTCAAAAAAAGATCTTTTATTTTTATAAAAGCTCTTAAAAATTAGCGTAACAAACATACGACTAGAACCTTTTAAATACTTTTTAAATAATACAAAAGCTAGAAGTCAGTGACTTCCTACCTTTTTGTACATGCTCCTTACATTTCGTATGCATCACATGAACTCGTATAACTTTTGGATGTACACAACCTTGTACACACCCTATATACGCAATGTTTGTGAAGCTTTTTTTTTGTCTGTGAACCCGGTTCACAGACAATATTTTGTTTGTGCAAAACATTGTCTGTGAATCAATGTTCACAGACAAAAAAATAACATTCACAGACATAGATGTGTACAAAAGTGTGTATAAAAGTGTGTACAAACGTCATTTTTGTTTTGATAAATTGTGTCCGATACAAACGTATTATCAAAGATATCAATAAAATATACCGAGCGTGTACAAAATAACACAGCTTTTCTGAATGATCATTTATTTTTGAAGTGATTGAATAGAATGTTGGAATTTACCACAGGAAAGGGTCATGTAGGAGGGCGGAAGAGGGCGGAACAGAGAGCGGACTCAGCGGAGGAATAATGAGCGTCATGCTCAAATTCCGCTACTTTATGAGCTGTCCATGGAAGGCCTGGAGGATCCGAAGCCACCACCTCCCCTCCTCTTCTTCTTCACCCACCACATCTGGATCCACCGGCTCTTCATCTAGAGGTTTCCAAATCAATACCGCGAGCAGCAAGCCAATTTTACCGCGGCAAAAGCAGTCTCCTCCGCATCGACAGCAAGAGATGAGTAGTACCAGGAGTGATGTCACGACGGCGGATAGATCGAGATCTTCGGTGTTACTGCTGCAGGGCCTGGGGGTGAAGCTCCGAGAGCTGGTGGCGCCAGATTCACATCATGCCAAGTGCGGCGGCGGCGGCGTGATGCCGTCTAAAAGTTGCCCTGCTTCTGTCAAGTCGACGCCTCTGCATCACCACCACCATCAATGGGCTACTTCCGCTGCTTCATCGTTCACCGGAAAATTGGTTTATACCAGAGACAATTCCGTTCAGGCCGCCATTGCTCATTGTAATAGATCTTCCGGCCGCTCCCAGGATTTTACCCTTTGATTTACCCCATCGTGCTGCTGCTTCGGCATGCGCTCAATGTTTGGGCTTCACTAGATAGAAAAGTTCAAGAAATACTGCCTCTAGGTCCATCGGGCCGCCTAAGCTTTTCTCCCAATAAATATAGGGGCTGTTTGGAGCCTATAAAATGCGCTGATAAGCCTTAAAATAGAAAAAAAAAGAGCCAAACACTAGCCATTTGGGCTGTTTGGGCTGATATTACTTATCAGCCAAAAAAGTACCCATTGGGTTATTTTTTCAGCTGAAACCTATATTAATATATCCTTTGCTCAACTAAAAACCTATCTACCCTTCCATCTTCGCATCTTCTCCTCTGGCCATAGCGACGAGGAGCTGCGCATACTTTTGTCTGCTAGGAGCTGCCCAACATGAAATACTGCGTATGTATTTTATCTGAGTTCTTGATTCAGATAAAATTGGAAATTGGGATTATTTAAGAAGATCAGTAATAAGTGCTCTCATAGATTTTTTTCATTACTTTATCAATTGTTTGGCTATCTATAGCAGTTCAAGCGGTCAATTTTTAGCCTCTATCACATTTTAGTCCCTATAATTGAGAGAATAAGAGCAATATATTAAAAAATGACCTGACTGCTTGGAACTAGATCAGTGTAGAAGCGTTAGGTTCTTAAGAGCAATAAGATTTCCAAACCGTGTCCAACAAGCTCCGTCAATAGATGTCTCATATGTCTGATATTAATATTGACAGAACAATAGATGGTAATTTCAGCCAACATTCGAATAATCAAATACCCTTAATGGTGATTTTACTTTCACTTCAACAGTTTCATATAGATTCAATCAGCAAACAGTTTCATCTAGATGTCTCATATGTCTGATTTTACGTTCAATCAGCAATTTCAGCCAACATATTACCAAACACTTTCACTTCAACAGTTTCAGTCTTTTTAGGCTTTTCAGCCCTTCTAGCCGGTTCAGCTGGTTCCAAACAGGCCCATAGATTCCCATTATCAATTACCCTCGTATATACTTCGTAGGACAATTTTATTTTTATAAAAAAGAAAATCGGAATACAACTTTATGAGTTTTTTCCTGGAATAATGCTAATTAAATAGATAATTCCTAAAATATTGTTGGGTTAAACATAATTCCCAAAATACTGTTGGAGTTAACTGCGGTTAAGTAAAGTTGTCACTTGAAGTGGCGGTTCTTCTATGCAATACAAAAGTCGCCACTCCAAGTGACGGCTCTTGTGCCTAATAAATACAACATCAGCTCATTCAATAGAAAAATTTGCTCCTTACAGTCCAGTTAACTCAAAACTATCAAACAACTGCTCTTTATAGTCAATATAAGTTACTAAAAAACAATACATATACAACACACAAAACGAATAAATGGAGCTACATTGGGTCACAATACTAGAAATATCACATTGATGGTACCATGGATCACAGTCATGGCCCAAAAACGAATTGAAATAAGCTCATTACATGGGAACGGTGAAGCCAACCCATTAATCGGGATTGATAATTAATAGTAGTTGTTGGGCCTGAGTAGGAACTCGGTCCGTGAAAGGAACCCACAACCAGGTCGGTCTGGACAGCAGACCTCAAGCCTGTGGGGGTTCTAGTGAGGTCGGACATATCCTAGGGTTTACATGGCAGGCTACCAATCAAGCATAGCTATCTCGCAACGGCAAGAAACACTAACGGAAAAAACGTGGACCTAAGGGAATAATAATAATTGCGTAATAACTGAGACGTTACAAGACTCCTATTATGATTGATTGCATTGAGTATCAGTTTCTTCCTAGCCTAAATTTCATTTGTTCTCGTAGTTAGAACTAAACTCCATCATTTGGTGTTCTTGTTGAGAGTCAATTTACGGTGATGATGGTTGGATCACACAATCACAACTGTGCTGGCAGTAACCAAGGTGATGCTCGAATGAACCAAATTGTGATCGAAGATGAAGGATCTCGTTCACGACAGAGTGATTTCCGGAGGAGGAATGACAACGTGGTAACTCCAGACAATTTGAGGAATCGTCTGCATGGTGTTGGAAGTTCCAGGCACCCCATGATGCGCTCATTGCAGTTTCGCACACTGGTAACTTTCCAAGGGGTTGTGGAAACTTTAACCACCGCCTTCCAGGGGATTGTCCCCAATGCGAATGAAAGACCTCCTTCCCCTCACGAATTCGTGTGACAGCCCCCGACCTCGCACGAGGAGGCCCTGCGGCGAGCCGACTAGCAAGCAGAGGTAGAGGGAGCAGAAGAGAGAGAGAGAGAGAGAGAGAGAGAGAGAGAGAGAGAGAGAGAGAGAGAGAGAGAGAGAGAGAGAGAGAGAGAGAGAAGAGGAGGAGGGGAAGCCTCAAGCCGATGAAAGCAAAAAGAAGGATGCCGAGAAGGAGATCCACGAGCGGGACAAGGGAAGTGGGTTAAAGAGAAAGAAAAAGGACTAGAATAAAAGCAAATCAGGGGGCCTGATGGACCTGTATCAAGTCAATCAAAATTTCCCCCATTAACATATCGAGTGAGTACAGTGCTGGATTATGCAACAAAACAGGGTGCTATCACTGTTTAACGATTGCACTGTTATCGAAAGCGAGCCTACCAAAGGAAAGTATTGCAAACTTCACTAGAGTGACACCCATGAGACAGACGATTGTTACGTTCTGAAAAAGTACGTGGAAAGGCTCATCTTAGATGGGAGTTAGATTAGTTTGTGAAGAAGAACCGCCAGGGGCCACCCCCTCAAAAGAAGAATGTCTGGGTCAAGGGCAAAGACGAGCAGGCCTCAACCCCTAAGAAGAGGATGACGAAGAAGGGGAGGATTACAGAAGTCTCCACATGTCAACCAGATCTATGGTGGACCAGTGGGAGGAGATACAATCGGGGAGAGAAAGAAGTGGAGTCATCAGTTGTTCAATGGATAAATCAACCGCTTTAATGATGATGACCTGCCATGTTGCCCTCCCCCATATAGGGGTGCCTTGGTGGTAAAGATGGAAGTTATGGATACGATAGTTCATGGAGTCCTAATAGACAATGGGAGTTCGATGAACATTATGTACTTGGACACATACATGGAAATCGGTCTCCAGAAGGAAGTCTTGAAACCAGTAAAAACTCCTCTATCAGTTTTTACCAGAGATGTAATCGAGCCGGAGGAAGTAATTACCCTCTCAGTTCAGCTCGAAACAAAGCCATGTGTGCAGACGGTTGAGGCGGACTTCGTGGTGGTACGTTCTCCAACAAAGGACCTGGGGAAATTATCTCCCAGGCTCATCTCTACATGAAATTTTATACGCCGGCTGGAATAGGCACTGTAAGATGGGACCAGAAGATGGTAAGGAGCAGCTACGTAAGGGCTTGCAAAGCTCATGGAAGGAACGATGTTCGAATAAAATTTATAGAACAGGGCCTGTCAAAATTTGAGGAAGAGTAGTTTAGAGCTCAGCCCGTCTAAAAGCTTAAGGAGGTCTACGTTGATCCATCCAGGCCTGAGCGTTAGATTAAGATCTGAGCAGTACAGCCGACAAACCTGAGAGCAAAAATAGTACAAGTCCTAAGGGATTTCAAGGTGATCTTTGTTTGAGGACTCGGAGATATGCTCGGGCTCGACCAAAGCATAGTTATGCACCGACTGAATGTAGATCCTAAAGCAACTCCTGTGAAGCAGAAAAGAAGGTATATGTTCTTAGACATGAAAGAGTTCATGAAAGGGGAGGTGAGCATGCTATTGGGGATTAAGCACATCAGAGAGGTACGATATCCAAAGTGGCAGGCCAACGTCATCTTGGCACCTAAGCCACTGACATGGAGGATGTGCGTGAACTATACTGATCTAAACAAAGCTTGCCCTATGGATCTCTTCCTTCTACAAAACATAGACCAGCTGGTGGATCAGACTGTTGGATGCGAGCTGCTCTCATTCATGGATGCATTTCGGGGATATCATCATATCTCTATGAATGAGGATGGTGGTTAAGGTTTTCCGAGCCGTTCTTGGAAGAAACATGGAAACCTATGCAGATGACATGATCATCAAAAGGTAGAATGTGAAAGACCATGCAGACGACCTGGGGGAAGTATTCGAAATCATGAAGAGGGTCAACCTAAGACTTAATCCTAAGAAGTGCAGCTTCGCAGTCCAAGGTGGTGAGTTCTTGGGACTCATGGGGTGACGCACAAATGAATAGAACCCAACCCTGGGAAGGTCAGGGCAATCCTTGAAATGGCGCCTCCCCATATTGTTAAGGAAGTCCAAATCTTAACTTGGAAACTGACAGCCCTGGGAGATTCCTATCCAGGTCGGCTGAGAAATCGTAACCATTTTTCCAAGTATTGAAGAAGAACAACAGGTTCAAGTGTTCTAAACAATGCCAGATTTCCTTCAAAGGCCTCATGAAATACTTACAGTCAAAGCTCTTGCTCTGCAAGTCTGAAGCAGATGAGACACTTATCCTATATCTAGGAGTGTCACAAAGTGCAGTCAGTTTGAACCAGTATAACTTTTGGATTTTTTAATAAATTGTTGGGGTTATTCCTTCAATATTACTAAATTAGATGTGATTTCCTAAAATGTGACCACTATTACATTTGGACAAGAATGTGACTAAAGTAGTCATATTCATGTCATTACCAAATTTTAATGTCACTGATCAAATTTAATGTCACTATCGAATATCACTGTCGCCACCACCAGTGTTACTGTAGCCACCGCCCGTGTCACTATGGCCACCGCCCGTGTAACACCCCGGCCCCGCAGGACCCGAGGGAGTTACTCCAGGTCTCTAGTACTGTCCCCACAAACCACCACGAGCCTTTACCGCGTACTTTGTCCTCACTCATGTGCGCCCTGAGAAACTTCCTAGGGGGTCACCCATCCCAAGACTACTCCCATGCAAGCACGCTTAACTTTGGAGTTCTTGGTTGATGAGCTCCCTTAAAAGGAGATGCACCTATGTTGGTATGAGTAGTACTATTAATCCTCTTAAATTAATCTCGGGTATTACAATCACCCCCACTTAGGATCGCAACGTCCTCGTTGCGCCCTTAACAATCTCAATCGAACCCCAGAATCTTGCCCCGCTAAGTGCCCTGCCCGATATCCAACGGGTCAACACACTGTCGCATGGTTGCTCTGATACCACCTGTAACACCCCGGCCCCGCAGGACCCGAGGGAGTTACTCCAGGCCTCTAGTACTGTCCCCACAAACCACCACGAGCCTTTACCGCGTACTTTGTCCTCACTCATGCGCGCCCTGAGAAACTTCCCAGGGGGTCACCCATCCCAAGACTACTCCCGTGCAAGCACGCTTAACTTTGGAGTTCTTGGTTGATGAGCTCCCTTAAAAGGAGATGCACCTCTGTTGGTATGAGTAGTACTATTAATCCTCTTAAATTAATCTCGGGTATTACAGCCCGTGTCACTTTGGCCACCTGTTGTGTCATTGTGGCCTCCAACTGCCGCACCTCGCCCCAAACTTCCGCCCCTATACGCTGCCACCGCCTCAATACCTCTCAATGTAATTCCACCCATCGCCGCAATCAACTACCCCTTCCCCAACCTTTGTCCTTTTACGCTCGTCTTCCCCGGCCTCTGTCATTGCCTCTCCATCTTTCCTATCCCCTTCTTCAACACTTCCCCAACATCAATTCGATTTCGGATCTGTGCAATCCAATGAAATTCGTAGCCATAGGTGAGAAGTAAGGAGAAGAAGAGAGAGTTTGTTGAGGTAGCGTAGCAGTTGCGGTATGGAAAGGCAGCGACGGCAACCCTGTCGGAGAAGGTGGCGACGGCGCGCCTCTCAGCGATGGCGGCGATTGGTGCACGGCAGGGGCGGCGATTGGTTCGTCGCTGCTAACCGGTGAAGGAAAAGGGATACATGTATGCCAAGACTGAAGAAGGAGCAGGCACCATGGAGCTAAAGAGTGGATGTCGATATAGTAATCTGGTCCAGTTGTGAAGGAGAAGATGCGCAGCAGGGAGAAGACGCGGAGCAGAGAAGGTCAGCGGGACGGAAGAGGCAATGGACCGGGTCACTTTTATGACATTTCAAAAAATGGTCATATTTTTGTCCAAGAAAAGTTGATGAGTTATATTGGTGCCATTCTTTCTAAATTGTTTCTGATACAAACATATTATCAGTGATATAAATAAAATATACCTAGCGTGTACAAAATAAAAGTTTTGAAAAAATTGAATAGATTGTTGGAATTTACTACAAGAAGGGGTCATGTAGGAGGGCGGAACAGAGAGCGGCGGAGGAGGAGGAGGAGGAGAAGGAGGAGGAGGAGGAGGAGGAGGAGGAGGAGGTGGTGGTGGTGGTGGTGGCACGGTTTAGGCACGCATATTTAAAAAATTAAGAAATTGTTTATCTATTGAATAAGCAAGCAGCTAAGCACATATAACTACTAAACCTTCAAATTATATACTATGGGTATATAATCATTCATAATAATCATAATTCAACATATGCATGATATATTAATTTATAGTTAACAGGAAAATGTTACGTACCTTATACGCTGACGATAATTAGTTTAAGAAATCTGAATATAAATACTTCAACCACATGGAAAATAGAAAATAATACCACTTTCCATGTTCTTGGAAATTCATCACCACTTATTAATAAGAATGTAATGAATGAATACATAATAAGATGTGTTCTATATATACATAATTTTTGGCAAGGTTTTTGGCAAGGTTTTTGGCACAGAATTTCAAAATGTCCGTAGATAACGGGTACTTTTGGGACGGAGTATGTCTCGGAAATCAACAACTACATTTGGAAGCGGAATTTTCAAAAGTAACAACGGATACTTTTTGGCACGGATGTTGTCAAGGACGATGTTGGCACATATATGTTCCCTACCATTCTAAATTTCATCTCAATTTATGATTTTTTCCAGTTGTGGAACGGATTTTGTCTCGGATTGTTGTCTCGGTTCCTTAATCGATGCAATTAGACCCGGATTTTTGATCGGATCCGTTTCCTATCCAAAGTTTTTTGGTTTTTTCGTCTTTGGGGTGGTCTTTGGCACGGAAGTTCCGTGCCAAACCCGAAATTTCATTTGACGTCAACTTTTCCATGCCAAAACCTGAGGTTTAGCTGTTGCGAGCCAACAACTGAGTCAAATTTGGTACAGAACGTTTCCGTGCCAAATAACCGTGCCTATAACGAGTTTTTTTGGTAGTGTATGAAGTAAAGTAAGTGTTATTGAACGAAAAATTGTACGATTTAGACATTTAATAGACAATTTTTAACTTGAAGGTGAGATGAATAAAACCCATAAAACGTTTCTCATCACATCTTTGTCAAACACTGATACATTAAGATAAAGCTGAATTTGAAAGAGATTAAAAAACAGGCCAATTCAATAGAAACGTACATTTTAAAAGATCTACAGCGAGATAGGAAAGGTAGGATATTAAGTGAAAAGAGAGCTAATGTGAGGCAGCTTTAATCGAATAACAAATCGAGCATTTTGAAACAAAAATGTTATAGTTGAATTTTAATAAAACATATGATATATCTCCTGAAACAAATCGCACTTTTAGTCCCTCAAATAGTTAGCATATTGAAATGTCAGACCCGTGTTTCCGAGTTTGTAAATGTCACCCCTCAATTATCGAAATTGATGTAAATGTGGTCCTTTGAGGGGTGAAATGTACAATCTGAGCGATGAATACATCTCACCCCTCAAAGGACCACATTTACATCAATTTGGACAATCGGGAGGTGTCATTTACGATCTACAAAATACGGACATGACATTTCAATATGGTGACTATTTCAGGAACTAAAAGTGTGATTTTCCCTACTCCTTGTGTTTAGGGGTGGTTCGGTACGGTATACCGAATATTTTCTCCCATACCTTTGTCGTACCAAAACTTTCGGTATACAAAATTTATATACCATTACTTTACCGAAGTTTCGGTCGGTAACGGTACAGTATCGGTAAATTACCATGCATGCCCCCCAATACAAAAAATTATCATAGACTAACAACATATACTAAATCGGTGTGTTGCTAGCGACATATTTAATCCATTATTAAAATGTTACAAAATACAATTAATAATTTATTAATGTCATATTCGATATTCAACAATAATTATTATTAGTATATCTAAGCAGTTCAACATGCCACGTATTAAAAAATAACACATTCTCCTAAAATAACTTGAACAATATAGTTATAATTAAATGAATAGTGATCTCTAACAAAAATAAATAAAATTATTCAAACATGGATATAAAAACATTTATCGCTAACATGATATTGTGTATCTAGTCATTTTTACAATTTTTTTAAAAACATATTTGAATAAGACTTTCGGACATAGTTGTGTGCCTCGAGTCGTGGAATATATCCATACGTAGATACACTCGTCACATAAGTGTATCCTTCTTCACATGTTATCGCGACTCGCAAGCTTGTGGAACATGATGGATTGATTCGGACATTAGTACATTATTCATTAGTCATTAGACTTAATTTGTTTGAAGGTTACATAGTAGAAGCCTAGAAGTTTATAATGGGTTTGGGGAATCGGGCCTTTATTTTTGTATTTATTATTTGTAACCAACATAAGTATTAATTTTAGGCTTCAAAATTGCAATGGACTTTTACAATATTTTAGAATTTAACGTAATTGTTGGGTAGGGAGTCGGTACGGTATTTATACCGATATACCACGGTTTTTGAAAACATTTACCGTTACCGTAACAAAATAAATCGGTACGGTATGATACCGTACCGAAAATGACGGTATAGCAATATTCCGGCATTTTCCGGTATTTTTCGATACAGTAAATGTGGTATACCGATTTTCCGGTATTGTGTTTATTTTCTCTTGCTATCAAGAGTTTTTCCTGCTAATGTACTAAAATCCTTCTAAAAAGTGTTGATTGAGAAAGTGAAGAGATGGTGAGGAAGTTCTGAAAGGTGAGAAAGAAAAGAGCGGAGGTGATTGGACGGTGCAGATTCATGAAAATGAAGGGTTAGGATGATTTTGTAAGAAAAATCTGGTTTGCCACATTGCCACGTTAGGTATGGCCCATATAAAGTTGAGCCCAAGGGAAGTCAACCTAAATCCACACTGCTATATATACATTCCTCAGCTAGCGCACTGTTCCTCAAATATCTGTCCGCCTCTCAGCTTTTCCCTTCCCATCGACGCGATCAAACCTAGAGGAGTTTTCCGAGGTTCGTTCTTCATACGTTCTTTTATCATCTTTTTTTGTGTTTGTATTGTCTATTGTTTGAAGGTTAAGTGTTTTTAATCCGCATGCATTTCTGCATTTCTGAAATGTTTTTAATCCACATGCATTTCTGCATTTCTGAAATGTTTTTAATCCACATGCATTTCTGCATGTGGAGTTTTCGTTCTTTTACTGGTTACGTTTCGCTGTTTTTTGTGCAATAAGACTGAATCATTGAGTACTGAGGGTTTTGTGTTTTCATCAATGACAATCATGCCATAACTCTTCTAGAACGTAATGTGGTGTTTCAATAGTCTGTGTTTGTTCAACTCTGTTTATCATGATCTTCGAAATCTCATTTTTACTCGCCTCTGTTACTATGCTTTAGATTAGATTGACACAATTTTTGTTGTAATTCGTTAATAGATATAGTACGAACATTTTTCCGATTGTAGTTTATTTAGATTTGATTTCTGCGAACTAACTGTTTTGAAGAACTCGATAGCTTTTGGCATGTCATCCACGATTTGAGATATTTTCCTCAAACAGTGGCATAATACCTTGAAAATTTTAAATTTCATATAATCATTAAAAGGCTTATTATTCTGTCTACGAAGTGATTGTTCTTTGGCACAGATATTTATTAAAATCTATTGCTGATAGTTTGTTTTTATTGTTCAGTTGTTTACAGATACCTTCACCATGGGTAAGGAAAAGGTTCACATCAGTATTGTTGTCATAGGCCATGTCGACTCTGGGAAGTCAACCACCACTGGTCATTTGATCTACAAGCTTGGAGGTATTGACAAGCGTGTGATTGAGAGATTTGAGAAAGAAGCTGCAGAGATGAACAAGAGGTCCTTCAAGTATGCATGGGTTCTTGACAAGCTCAAGGCTGAGCGTGAGCGTGGTATCACCATTGATATTGCCTTGTGGAAGTTCGAGACCACAAAATACTACTGCACTGTCATTGATGCTCCTGGACATCGTGACTTCATCAAGAACATGATCACGGGAACCTCACAGGCTGATTGTGCTGTTTTGATCATTGATTCCACCACTGGTGGTTTTGAGGCTGGTATTTCCAAGGATGGTCAGACTCGTGAACATGCATTGCTTGCTTTCACTCTGGGTGTGAAGCAAATGATTTGTTGCTGCAACAAGGTTTCATTTAAAAACAATGCTTTGAATTCCAAATGAGTGATATATTTTGATGTTATTATTATTTTTTATGCCAAACAACATTCGCTGATGATCTTTTGTTGCTTAATTTGTAGATGGATGCAACAACCCCCAAGTATTCAAAGGCTAGGTATGATGAAATTGTCAAGGAGGTGTCATCCTACCTGAAGAAGGTTGGATACAACCCGGACAAAATCCCTTTTGTTCCCATTTCTGGATTCGAGGGTGACAACATGATTGAGAGATCCACAAACCTTGACTGGTACAAGGGACCAACCCTTCTTGAGGCTCTTGACAATGTCAATGAGCCCAAGAGGCCGTCTGACAAGCCCCTCCGTCTCCCACTTCAGGATGTCTACAAGATTGGTGGCATTGGTACTGTACCTGTTGGCCGTGTTGAGACAGGTGTGATTAAGCCAGGTATGGTGGTCACTTTTGGGCCAACTGGTCTGACCACTGAAGTGAAGTCTGTTGAGATGCATCACGAGTCTCTTCCAGAGGCCCTCCCTGGTGACAATGTTGGATTCAATGTTAAGAATGTTGCTGTGAAGGATATCAAGCGTGGTTATGTTGCTTCAAATTCCAAAGATGACCCTGCTAAAGAAGCTGCGAGTTTCACTGCACAGGTCATCATCATGAACCACCCTGGTCAGATTGGGAATGGGTATGCGCCGGTTCTGGACTGCCACACCTCTCACATTGCTGTCAAGTTTTCTGAGCTGTTGACCAAGATTGATAGACGGTCTGGTAAAGAGCTTGAGAAGGAGCCAAAGTTCTTGAAGAATGGAGATGCGGGAATGGTGAAGATGGTTCCCACAAAGCCTATGGTTGTGGAAACTTTTGCTGAGTACCCGCCTCTTGGGCGTTTTGCTGTGAGGGATATGCGTCAAACTGTTGCTGTGGGAGTCGTCAAGAGTGTTGAAAAGAAAGAACCTTCTGGTGGTCCTAAGCAGACCAAGTCTGCCTTGAAGAAGAAGTGAACTGTGCTGGTTGCTCAGAATGTGTGGCTTAATAAAGAACATAGTCTGCTTTGTTTTTTGTGTTTCGTTTTGCCTTGTCCGTTTGGTGCCTATTCTCAGAATTGGGTGCTTGACCGGCGGTGGCGAGTCTGAGTGTCTGTTTTCTTTCGTGATGGATTGTGTTCAATGATTTTAATGATTTTATGTTTGAGTTGCCTTTGCCATCTTTCTTCCAAAGTGGCACAGGATATTTGTCAGACTTTTTAGTTAATTTGGGATATCAATCTGAGCTACTTTTTTCTGTCATATCCTATGTTTCTGCTTTGTGCAATTTAGCTTTGAGTTTCTTTTACCTAAATATTACCTTTAGTAATTAGATGGACAAAAAAGTGACTAGTGATATTAGTAGGAAAAGAAAACATACAGATATGATTAAATGAGTATGTGTAAAACTGTATATACAGAATTGTCCCTTGTAGTTATGACTATAACAAATAAAGAGGCTGGAGATGCGGTAAATTTGAACGTAAAGGTTGCACTGATGTATTTTATGTAGAACGGTATTTCAGTGGCTAATAAACGAGGATGCCAGAAGACGATCCAAGCCCAAATATACTTCGACGCAGAGGAGGGGCATATTTGAAGGTAAGTTTCATTGTCTTGACTCTCGAGATTTAGAATATGTTTTCGTAGTAGGGTATATGTGTTTGAGATGATAAATGTGAGAAGAACTTCGGTCGTTGTGAATTACTTCGTCGATTTAATTGTTCTTTTGATTGATGGGATAAAGGATTGTTGAGCAGGAGGAACTAAGTTTAAGGAGCAGGGGTAGGAGTACAGGATAGGAAGTAACTGCAGCTGTCTAAATGAGTCCTCATTGTGTAGGATTTGCTTTCGAAAAGTTACTAAACTTGACGGCATGGGTGTCGCTTACGGTTAATTATTAAATCTGAGTGAGTAGTCACTTAAATTTTTGTTGTTAGGAGTAACTAATGCTGTATGTTCAATGAAACGTAGTCGCCTAGTATACATGTACGTAGATTGTGCAAGTGACTGGCGAAAAGTGACTGCAGTAATAAAAATGTGTAACTGATAGTTACTTAATTAGTACCGTAAGTGGAGTAACTTAAAAATCTTTTGTAAAAGTAAATGGTAGACAGCTTTACTAAGGACTAGGAGTCACTTATAGTGTAGATTCCATGTAATGTAGTTACTTGTGTTATACTCCCTCCGTCCCGCTAAAAATAGGACAAGAGAGAGTGACACGCAAATCAATAAAAAGTGGTTTATGTGGTTAATATTGAATTGATAAAGTAAGAATAAAATAAGAATGATTTAGAGCCGCACAAACTTTATAAAATTTGGTATGGGACAATCTTAGTGCAACGGACCGATAAGGTAAAATGAGATAATTATAGCGGGACGGAGGTAGTATTATTTAGTTTGGAGTATGTTCTAATAAATCTGGGATGGTGTGCAGTGTGTAAGTGATTAATTGCCAAAAGTAATAGTGATTAGAAATGGATAACAGTAATTGTGGATTAGTGACTTACGTGTTGTTAAGTACAGAGATAATTCGAGCTCTTTTGGATAACTAACTGATAGTAACTCGAATGTAATGTTGAGACACTAATTATAAGATCTGTTTGGGTGGGCACTCGTGTGTAGTACTGGACAGGGGTGAACATGTAATTGATGTGTGACGACACCGTATATGTAGTATAGCGTAGTAGAGTTCGTATCCACAGGGAAATGAATACTTTTCTTTTTATAAACTACTCCGTAGTAAATAAAAGGGGTTTTTTGGGATTGAGTGATTTAATTAATTTAATACAAAGATGAACGACTTAATGATTTTAAATAATGAGATAAAAGACTTGGTTTTGCTACTTTTCACTTGTTGATATGTTTGTTGATCCTTGTTATATCTATAACTTATCCCCTCTCGAATACTCAATCGACAAGTATCTCCAATTTATTGAAGGTAGTTATTAACAACGACCGTTCATTAATAACCCTTAGGCAATGTTTGGTTCAATATAATATCTTATACAGGTGGGAATTTGCTGTCCAGGATGTGAGATAACTGTATTTGGTTCGCGTGTTTGATTTTTTTATGGGAATGCTACATTCCCAAAAGTGAAAAAAAGTAATCACATTACCGGTCATCTTAAACCCATCAAGGCCTTAGGTTATGTTAGATTCCTGGTTGCTTATTAACTTTCTTCCAAAAAAAACCATGCTTCAATTAATCGACAAAATCATACTCCCTCCGTCCCGAAAAGGTTCGACAAATTGACTTTGCTTGGTCAATGACAATCAACTTTGGCTAATGATATTTTTTAATATGAAATTAATTTGAATATGAAAATTATATCAAAATGTTACTTATTCAAAATATTATCATAAAAGTATAAAATTTAGAAATTATATAAAATATAATAATTAAAATCATTGTCCAAAATTCGTCATCATTGATCAAGAAAAGTCAATATTTTGCTTAAAATTATTTACTAATGTTCACTAATCTTAGTCATTTGTGCAATTAAACATACTTTGCTTAAAATTAATTCAATTAGTTTTGATTTTAATTATTACTAAGATGTTTTATTTTTCTATAATTTTAATTACTTTAATTATAGGTTGTAATGAGTTTAATGTGTTAAGAGACAAATATTGAAATGACACTTAAGTAATTCACTAAATATGCAATATAAGATATCATTCAACCAAACAACTTAATGTCACATTCCCTTAATCGTAACCAAACACAAATCGGTTATACATTAATCACATTCCCATCTATCTAACATACCCGGTAATCTAACATTCCCGTGGTAATCTGACATTCCTTGAACCAAACGGACTCTTACTATTAGTCAAGTATAGAACACTGCCATATACCGACTTGATAGTAGCATTTAATCTCTTAATTCCTTGATGAAATCAACTGAGATTGATAACCTCAACACAACGGTTTCGGTTTATCCAACACAATTAATCCCTCTTAAGATTATTAATCGCGACCGTGCATTAATAATCTGAAGTTACTTACTTGTGAACCATCAATGATTAACCATCAGTTCATTAATCGTTTCTAGTAGTAATTAATGTCGAGATGTTAACTAATTGTCATCTTAGCAACATTCTCCAACATTAATATAGAGATAGATTAAGGGAAGAATTAATATTCACGGGAAGAAGTAGGAAAATAACTCACAACTTTAACATTCAACAAGGTTCAAGAGCAAAACCAAGAAATGGAAGTTTAGCTCCTCATTTGGAGACTAAACATGCTAGGAAATATCAAGAAAATACTATTCTAAGTTGAGCAAAAGTATATGGAAAAAGGGATATCAAAATGGGAAGGAAAAGAGGTGTATTTATAGGTATTTTGGTGAGGTTGGGTCTGATACCCTACCGGGTATAGAGGATACCCAACCGGGTATCTATAGCAGTAGCCACGAAAGTGCCGAAATCTAGTCATACCCGACCGGGTATGTCAATATACCCGACTGGGTATATGACCAAATCTGAATATCTGATTTTCCCACGTTCTCTTGCTTTATTTGATCTTGTAAATTTTCGGGTCAGGTCATACCCGACCGGGTATGACACCAAATCACATTTTTTGCATGATTTGTTGCTCCCTTGCACCTTCCTTGATTTTGTAAGATCCCTTTCATGATCCTTTGTTGATGAATGATTCTTGCTTAGGATGATTCTAAATTTACTAAATTACAACAAACTAGAAAAATAAAACGATAGCACCGTAAATGTGCAATTACCACAACAACACACCGTAAAAACTAACTAAAAGTAAAAATGTAAACACACAAAAATTAATGCAATCAATATGCTATCTTATGAAGCAACTAATCGATAGTAACTCATATGTAAGTTTGACATTGTAAGTATGGGATGTGTTCCGGTTGGGACTAATGTGTAGTAACTCGTAAAAAGGTAAGGTTTAATTAAATACATTCCCTAAATCAAATGTCACCGACTTGTTTGTTTATTCTTCAGAATGATGAAACCATTGTTGGTGACTGTATTCGTAGGAGACGAGTGGAATGAAAATAAAGAATTTAGAAATCCTAAATTTGGAGTGAAATTGCGCACGAATCTGAAAATGAAATCACCAAAACTCGTCTGCCGAAATTTCTTTCATGAGAACTGATATAGAGAAATATAACAAAATATCAGATAAGTAGATCTGCTTCATCCTAAAATCAATAGGCATGTAGTTTCGAAAAGAGGTGATATTTGAGAAGGCAAAAATATGCTTCATCCTAAGAACACTCGCATATTTGACATAATTGTAGCTTAAAAGTGGATGTGAAATTGTCCATACTAATTACTGTAAGAGCGTGTGTTCTTCTGGATTGATACCACTACTGATTGAGGAAGGTTGTCTCTTCTCTTCTCTCGTTGTCCTTCGCATCAAACAAACACTTTTGTCATCCGGTCGTTTGTTACGATCTAGGCTACTCTACGTGATTAATCAAGAAAGAGTAACGAGAATACGTAGCTTGCATGAGAAGTTAGAATTTAGAAGGGAGAGGGAAAAGTGTTTATTCATCCAAACGTAAAGAGTATGCATACACCATAGGCCTTATATAGTCGTATAACTAACATGATATTCGTTTAACTAACATGCCACGTCAGCTTATTGTTATCCACTAACTAACTCCCATTAAAATGCTTCCCCCATTTTAAGTGACTTGCCCTCAAGTTAGGCTATTATAAAACTCCAGAAAAGCCTGCTGAATAAAATCAACCCACTCTCATGTTGCACTTTCAGGTTCCTGGCCTTCCCACTGAATCAATCACTTCACTCTAGCCTCATTTCCATGTCTGAGCAGTTGTCTTCCCAAAACAGCTCCGGGTTACACCTTGTCTTTTGCAGATACTCCTTGCAGCCACTGAGGAACGTGTGGCTTAGATGGTAAAGCTCCCCTAAACTCCTTGAGTAATGATATGCTTGATCCCCACACCAAGGCGAACCTCAATCCATGCTCAAAACAAGATTTGGCCAAGTAGATGTTGAGCTACGTGTGTTGACCTCTTTGGGTGAATAATGTATTTGCGAAGGTTTTTTTGTGAATGGAGCTGATATCTTTAGTATTACTGACTCCTAAGGAATTAAAGAGTAATAAAGAAGATAAACCAGTCCAAACAACAAAGTATGGTGGTGGAATTGCGATGGTTGACAGAGGATTTGCGTGAGAGAGCTAAAGAGATGACCGCTGGTCACTGTTTGGGAGAGAAGAGCTCTCAACGCTCACTAGAATCCTTCTGTAATTCGAAGTTGAGAGTT